GTTTCACCGTTCGTTTGTGTACGTCTTTTTGACTTATCTCCATTATACTTTTAATTTGCGCAACATAGGTTTCCGCGTTATTATGACCACTGTCTGTGTTTATTTCCACTTCAAATTTAAGACTATTGCATGTACGAGTGTCATTTTGATATCCAATATGTTTTACGTGACGAGGGACTCCATTAATTTCTACAACTTGCATCGAAGTATTTCCAGTTAGTTTTGCTGGCTGTCACTTAGTGTAGCAATTTGCATACGGTGGTTTCAACCATACTTTATCACCATTTTTAAAAACTGTTTCATGATTCTGTTTTTTAACTTCAATTTTACTGACTTTATCTTTGAGACCCATGAAGTAGAAAGTGAAACTACTCCTGTTGTTACGCATGCTCATGTAGTTATTTTACCCTTCCGTTCCCGTTCCTGCAGAAAAATGGATGAGTGGAAACTCATCTTTATACCACAGCCATGTAACCCTGACTGAACATAAAAAGAAGATCCTCTTAAAGATAAAAGTTATGGCTCAACGGTGTAATATGTAAAACGCAAACATTACATTGCTCAAAATCTTGTCTTTTTAAAGACATAAATGTATTTTGGTTGTTTAATTTATGGTTAGTATTTTTTTAATTTCTTTTAAATTATCTTTTACTTATTAAGCCACTTTAATAAGAGCTATAAGGTCATTAAGTGAAAATATTATTTTTCAACATTTGCAAATCCGGAACCAATTTTGAACAGCGAATTTTGAGTTTATTGTTTTTCAAACGCAAGCTTTATGATATTCACCTAAGCTGCTAACGTCAAACACCGCCGTCGATTTCAATCATGTCATTATAACAGTAAATTTTTAGAGTGCGGTTTTTTGAGGGAGTGAAAGTTTCAAGGTGAGTTTCAACTCATCCGATTTTCTACGAGAACGGGAAAGGGAACGGAAAAATAATCACGTGAGCATGGGCAGTTTTACTTTGGACAAATAAAAATTTTTATTACGCGTGCTCACGTGAATATATTTTTCGTTCCTTAGAAAAATGAATTAGTGGAAACTCGTCTTTATACTACAGCAGATAATCAGTGTCTTATTTCTATTTTTTACCATTTTTCATGCTTTCTATTCAAATGCAGAAGTTACTTTATTGATATGCATCAAAAAAACAAAAGTCATGTTACTGAAAATGTAAAGTAGGCACTGATATATCTTTGAGGCTGTATATCGAACCCCATAATGTGAGTAGTATGTTTCAATAGATTTCGCAAGCAATGCGACTAATAACTAGTATTTTGATTTTAATTTTACATTTAAATTTGTATGCCAATTGGTTTATTGTTCAACCACAATAATGATTATATACACTACCAGCTCCACCTTTTTCTTATAGTAAATATCTTCAAAAAGCTGAAAAATGCAAAATATATTTTGACATCAATGACTGCATTGGAGTCATTGAAGTCAACAAAGCATGGAGTTTTTTGGATTATTTATTTACTGTTCTTCTTACTAAGAGAAGTTATAAAAAATTAAAAAAAAAGAAAATGATAAAGATGCTGAGTATACTGTGCAACATACTTGTAAAACTTGCTGACACTGCTAATAGAGTCTTGTGTATCAGTGTTAGAGTAAGAGTTACACACACAAAAATATTTCCCGATAAACATAATTATTATTTGTTTTACACAAATTTTTTTAGTTTTGGTTGTTCGAAATTAATTCAACAAAATTTGTTCAACTAATTTGAATTTTGATAAATGTAAACCATTTTTAAATTAATATTTTAAAAACCTTTTCTACTAAGTATCGATTTGTTTTAAATAAATTTTTTATGATCCAATTCTAGCGCTTTTTTTTTCTATAGTGATAGTTAAAGAAATTTAAATGTTAAAAAAAAAAGTTTTAAATATTTAAAACTGCATATTGACTTTTTAAAAAAAATGTATTCGAATCAACGTTACAAGTTGCAAATTTATGACTGATTATATAAAAGCAAACTATGTGCATAAAGAAATAAAACCAGTTCAAAATATCAAGTAATAAATGTTTTCTACTATCAATTAATATTTTCATTTTAACGCAGTTTTGTGTAAAGCCTATCTGTCAGCCTGTCTATCTGTCTGTCTGTCTGTCTGTCAGTTTGTATGTATGTATGTATGTATGTATGTATGTATGTATGTATGTATGTATGTATGTATGTATGTATGTATGTATGTATGTATGTATGTATGTATGTATGTATGTATGTATGTATGTATGTATGTATGTATGTATGTATGTATGTATGTATGTATGTATGTATGTATGTATGTATGTATGTATGTATGTATGTATGTATGTATGTATGTATGTATGTATGTATGTATGTATGTATGTATGTATGTATGTATGTATGTATGTATGTATGTATGTATGTATGTATGTATGTATGTATGTATGTATGTATGTATGTATGATAATATGCTCCCCAAAATAATATGCTCCCCAAAATATGCTCCCCGGTAGCTATACCTCTGTGTTTAAACAACCAACATTGAACTTCAAAAATTAACTAAATGGTTGAACGTAGATAAACTGTCTATTAATTTAAGTAAAACAAGGTATACTTTTTTCATTGCCTTCATAAAAGAGATAAAATCCTTCTAGGACTCCGAAAACCTTTTATTGATGAACTCATCGTAAAAAGATAATGTTTTATGAAGTTTTTTAGGTATAATATTTGATGAAAGCATAACATTAAAAGATCACTCAAGCATACTTGAAAATAAAATTTCTAAAAATATTGGTTTACTCTATATAGCAAAACTTCTCTCAGGTCAATTAGGCTTAAAACACATATATTTTTCATTTATTTATTTCTACATTAATTATGAGAATATTTTTTGGTGCAGTACCAATAAAGCTGAAAAAAAAAAACTATTCAATAAACAAAACCATGTAATGAGATTGTTATCAAATGTACACTGTCTCTCACATTCAAAACCATTATTTAACTTATAATTTTTCTGTATAAAATTAATTTAAATACAATAACAATAATTTTTAAACGATTGTTTAATAAAGTTCAGCACAAATACCTCAAAAAATATTCTGGTAAAAGCTTAAAATAAAAATAAATCAATAAAATAGTGAGCAAAATAGAAGGGCTAGAGTTAAGCTTCACTTAAAACTTAAAAAGCTGAAGAAAAGTTTCCGTGCAATCTTTAACTAAACCACCATTCATGCAAAACGAAGTACTTTTAAAACTCTTTTATAGTCCTTCATAAAACTCTTTAATATAGAGTTTAAGAAAAGAGGATGAGAGGGATAGATTAAAAAAACATAGATATATTAACATACAGTGTTGAAAAAATATAATCGCACAAAAATAAAATGATGCTGCCTAGCTTTTAATAGTCGTGTATTGTCGGCTCCTATTCTAAATAACGTTAAATAAACTCTTTTATTTTTATCTGAATCGTTTAACATAAGCAAACAAATGTTAAAAAAGTGACTCATTTGTATATTTTTATTCATTAAAATTAGATGTGCTTGATTTTTTTGTTAATATATGCGGAAAAATTCAATGGGACAAATTGTTATTCATTAAAAATATTTTATCTAATACTAAAATGGGTTTAAAAGCTACACACCACGTAAAAAATCATTTTTGACACAGAAACATAAGAAAAAACAATTAGTATTTGCTAAAAGTCATGTTAATCAGCCAATTTCATTTTGGATGAAAAAAACTATTGTTGGATGACTTCAAATTTAATATGGTACATTCTGATGGCAAACAAAAAAACTGGTGAAAATTACCGTTTAGGTTGCATGCAAGGAAGCGTAAAACATAGAGATGGTAATATAATGGTATGGACTGCATGTCATGTAATGGTGTTGAAAATCTTGATTTTTTTGAAGGTACATTTAGGGTTCAAGACTTCCAGAAATTTTCAAAAAGTTTTTATGCATTAAACTTATAGCTACTATAAAACTCACTTTTTTGTTTCACATATATGCGTTTTATCATCGGAGGATTTGGGTATTCTTTAAATATTTCAACAAAAATATAAAAAAACAAAGACCTATCAGCGAAAAATGCACATCTTTGAGTCAAATTTTTATAGTCAATTTGAGAACCGCGCATTTTTTTAAAAAAAGCAATATAACGCATAAGTTGTTAAACATTACTTTTACTTACATTACCTTTCAAGGTTTGCACGGATCCTTATAATGCCTACCTAGCTGTCCCACGAACGCCACTTATACGAAAAGTTAGCGTACACATCAAGGTACTCTGTGATACAAATTTTGAAATCATTTAATTTTGTCCGCGGAAAATAATTTTATTTGAATGTTCAAATTAAGTCAAATTGATTCCTTAGTGTGCCAATAAAAACACTTGTAGAATTTGAACCACTCAATGTAATTTGATAAAAATTGGTACAAATGTAGCCAAAAGTCACACCAAACTCTGGACAATATTTCAGCCTGATTGGATGACTGGTGTAGGATTTATTGTAGTTTTAGTTGAAGTTTTGTCAGTTTTTTGCTATTTATACCTCAAAGCGTTACCGATTACTTTGAAATTCGGTCACTATTTTTAAAATAACGGTTAGATGAGTGTTTTACTATGTAATACCAACAATTTTTGTTATAATTATTTTATCGGCACAGGTACAGTTTTCATTTTATAGACCAAAATAGTGATTTGCTACTTAAAGCGTGATTTAAATACACTCTAAAAACAGTCCGTTAAAAAAAGTAACGGATTGCGCTTTTTCGTTAAATTAACAGATTAATTCGTTACCAAAAACCAGAAAATTAACGGACTAAAATCAACTATTTACGGATTCTTTGAAATTTCGTTAATTCAACGGAATAAATATTCTAATCGATCAAAAAAAAAAATTCAGTATATTATAGCTTTTTATTTTGAAAATGATAAATTTTGAATGCGTTTTTCTCACATTTACATTTACATCGTAGATAAAAGTTGGTTGCAGTAAGTGTAATATGCCATTTTTTTAATTATTTCTATAATATAGACTAAATGGATTATTTATAGTCTTTTTTAACTTTATATTTTAGACATATGACATGTAGTAACATACCATATTAGTTTAAATCAGTTGTAAAATTAAAAATGTTAACAGCTTTGATAGGTATATTTATTTAGGTTAGTTACAGCTAAGTTTACATGGCTAGTTAATATGCTTTTATAAATTGCAATTTTTATTAATTTCCAAATTAAACATGTGGCACACAATATCATAAACTAAGTTTATACTGGTGTGTTTATATTATTTCAGAATTTTTTGTTTTAGACACATGGCATTTGCTATCCCACTGTAAGTTAAAACTAGTTGTAAAATTAAAAAAATTATATTGGAACTTCTATTTCTTTTAACATTCATGTTTATTTAATTGAGTTACAACTAAGGTTATATATGAGTTATTTATATTATCTTAGAATTTGCTGCTTTAGAGGCCCGGCATTTAGTTTCACATTGTAGGTTTAAATTGGTTCAGGAATTTATATTGTAACTTGCATATTTATTTAGTTGAGTTTAATCTAAGTTTATATTTGATGTGTTTGTATTATTTTAGAATTTACTGTTTTAGACACGTGGCATGTGGTATCCCAATGTAAGTTTGAATTAGTAAATTTAAAAAAAAGTTATATTTTAACTTGCATTTCTTTTGACGTTCATGTTTATATAATTAGATTACAACTAAGTTTGTGTATGGCTTGTTTATATTATTTCAGAATTTGCTATTTTAGACACTTGGTATAAGCTGTCATACTCTAAGTTTAAATTGGTTGTAAAATTTATGTTGTAATTTGCATTTCTATTGGCGTGCATATTTATTTAGTTGAGTTTAATCTAAGTTTATATTTGATGTGTTGGTATTATTTTAATATTTGCTGTTTTAGACACGTGGCTTGTGATATCCCACTGTAAGTTTGAATTAGTAAATTTAAAAAAATTGTATTTTAACTTGCATTTCTTTTGGCATGCATATTTATTTAGTTTAGTTAACTAATTTTATATCACACTTTTTTAACTATTATTCTACTATATTCTATATTCACTATTATTTTAGAGTTAGCTATTTTAAACATGTGACAAGTGGTATGACACTGTAAGTTTAAATAAGTTGTAAAATTAGTTTTTTTATATAGCTGCTTGCGTTTTTTTTTGGTCAGCATATTTAATCTTGTTTTGATTTATCACAGTTTTTAAAAGGTTAAAGACCTTTGCTCCTGATAAGTATTGATGTATGTGAAATGTATAGAATCTTTCAGTTATCAGATAATATCAAGGTAATCTTATACTTTTTTTTAATTTACATTTTAATAAAGATATAATTTACTTGTTCCATTTAACTTTATCTTTAGAAAACAATATCAGAGATAATCAAAATAACAAAATTTAGAATAGAAATTTATATATAATGAATTACCAAAAACATTTTCTATAGTGTTATCAGTAACATTTTATTTTGGTTTTATAAACATCTATTATATATATGTGTGTGTTTTGTATAAATGTACTAGCTTGAGTATAGTGTATTAAAAATATTTTTTTTAACTATATTTACTGTAATTTTAAGTATATTGGATTAAATATTATAAATATTTGATTAGTTTTCAATTTTTGGTTAAAACGTTTTAATGTAGAATATCGAAATAAAATAATGCAATTAAATAAAAATGCAAATATTAACAAATATAAGGATTATTTGGTTATGAAGTCACAATTCTGGTCTCTCTAATTTTAGATTTTAGTGATTTTAACGAAATAATCACTAAAATAACTTTTTAACACATTTATTTCATAGGAATAACAACCGCGGAAAATTTGCTGCCTAGTGTAATAACTCCTTAATTTTAACGGATTATTTGTTGCACTAACGAAATAAATCCGTAAATTCAACGGACTATTCCTAACGGAGTTCAATTCGTTAAAATTTTAATTCGTTAACTTAACGGAATTTCCGTTAGTGCAATAGCGACAGATACAATTCGTTGTATATAACGGATTTTTTCTTAGAGTGTAGTCTTGTCATGATTTAAATACTATGTGTCGCCATGGCCTTTAAAGTGGAGGGGGTCAGCCCCTCAATTTCTAAAATAAAATCCATAATTTCTAAAATAGTTGCCTTTATTTCTAAAACAAAAGGTCCTCGCAAAAAAAAAGTAGAGAAGGATATGACTCCCTAGCCTTCCCGGCGTTGACTACCATGTAACTAGCCAAAGCTTATTTATTTTGACATTAAGAGCGTCATTCAAGTAGAATTTAATGCCACCTCAAATAGAATCTTGTGTGTAAAGTTTATACACAGAAAAAAACACTTTTTGATAAACAGAAATAATATTTTTTTTACGCAGTTTTTGTTGCTTAAATTAGTTTTTAACTAGTTTTTTTTCGTAATAAATGTTATCCATTTTTAAAATAGTGATTTAAAAGATTTTTCTACTGAAATTAGTTTTTTTAAATAATTTTTTTATGAATTAATATAATATATAACAATAACCAGTGGTTTTGAGAGGTTTACTTGCTATAAAGATTGCTTGAGAAATTTAAATATTAAAAAAAAAAGTTTTAAATATTTAGAACTCCATATTGACGTAAGTTACAACTTGCAAAACCTCGAGTAGTTATGTAAAAAGCTATGGATATGGAAATTCATGAGTGGTTGTAAAACTATGGACATGGAGCAAAGAAAGAATTAAACCAGTTCAAAATTTCGAGTAACAATTAATTTGAACTATTTATTTAAATTTTGTTTTTAATGTAGGTTTTAATGTAAAAATTATTATATTTTTTTAATTAATATACATCTTATAAAATTTAATATTGAGTTTTTCTATCAGTCTATTAAGAGTTGATTTTGATAAATCTTTATCAAGGTTCTTTAAGGCAGAATTTTGCCCTAATACAAAGCTACCTTATCAAAATAGATCATGTGGTTAGGATAAAATAGGTTTTAGCCATCATTAAGATATTCTTTAATAAAAAGGACAAAACGCTTTTTGATGAAATGTTTTAAATAAAGGTTTTGGTTTACTGCTGGCCACAAAGTAGGATTTCAACCCCACGAAGGAGTTTGTTTAACGTTGCTGGATGATAAGACCATGTTTTTTGCCAGCTCCAATCGAAGCTTAAATGTTATATTTTTTTGTTGTAAAAACATTTTAAAAGATTATTTTTTTAATGACGAAAATATACATTAAAAAAAAAACAAAAAAAAAACGTGATTTAAGTAAAAGAAATATTAATTCCATAAAATTTGCTGTAGATCAAAGCAAAATATGATTCATTATCAATTATGCAAATTTTCTTTGAAAATTCCAATAATATGCATATAGTCTTATACAATGAAATTGATGTATGTATACATAAATCTTGAGACATAATAATTTTTGGTTCTAAAAATTCTAAAAAATTGGGAATTTTTTAGATTTTTTAGAACCAAAAATTATTATGAAGATTGTAATTTTGAAATTTATACTGTTATCAAATTATTTTCTTGTAAAAAAATTTACTATAATACAAGTAATTAAGGACTAAAGTTTTTCACAAGCAAAATGAATTATATACTTTATCATTATTCTCCAGGAATGTACACTTCACAAATAATTTAGCAATCCTCAATTATTGCATCATTTAAGAGTAAAAGTTTTAAAACTGATCAAAAGTTTTGTTTTAGTATCACTACTGATCATCTTATTTCTTAGATGGGCCCTTTAATAGTAAATGAGAATTTGGTCATATATAATTTTGGGTTGAACATAGAAGTTAATCAAATATTTGTAAAATACTTGAGCACAGTTTTCTTAAATAAAGTATATAAATACTTTATTAAACTAATAACAAAAAATACAAGGTTTAGTATTTTTATAAAATTTATATATTGAATCACCAGAAAATATATTTAGCGGAATTTCAATGGACATATTTAGGCATTTTGAGCAGACAACTGTAGTTTTGCTCATCGTTACTTAATAGACCATTAGTGGCAACCACCAAAAGCGGCTTGCCAATTATAGCCACTATTAACTTGTTAGAAAGTTATCGGCTTGCGATTTATAGCCGTTGCCACTAATAGTCTACTAGGTAACGATGTGCAAAATTCCAGTAAAAAACTTTGCTAAACAAAGACTATATAGGGCCACTGCAAATCCATTAAAACAATATTTGCTGGGTCTATAAGTTGGTACACTTTATTTTAATAAAAAATATAGTATATACTCAGTCTGTTAAACAATGGCTATTAATATGAAAGTTGTAGAAAATAATATAATTGGAATTTTTTTTTGAATAGTTTTTTCTATTAGTTACATTATCAAGCAACAATGATATATTATACATTCTAGATGTCTGATACATTATATATTTTATATATCTTGTATTCGTTTCTGTCAGATTTAGGTAATTACCTTTTATTTAAATTTTCTCTAATTTAGCCATTTCAGACAATTTTTTAGAATTAAAATATTCAAAAATAATTGATATCATCGTATAGAGCTTCATTTGACTTAAAAAATGAGGGGTCTTTTGGCCTTTGAAGTTTGGCGGATCAAAATTTATTGACCTTTTTGTAGTGAAAAAATGGGTGATTTTTTGACAAAAGGTATAGGACTTAAATATGGAAAATTTAGTGCGAAACGGCACCGAAAATGAGAGTATTGTTGACATTTGAATAACTTTTGAACCGATAATACATTTGACTTTAAATTTTCCATAGTGACCAATTAACTATAAGCAAATAAAATTCCAATTTTTTTTTTAAAAAACCTGTCGGGATTGACCAGAATTTTCTACTTTACAGACAATGGATTTTTACAAATTTATATATTTTGGGGTCATACTGACTTTTGAATAACTTTTGAAACAATAATACATTTAACTTAAAATTTTCCAAAGTGACCAATCAACTATAAGGAAAGAAAATTCCAAATTTTTTTTCAAAAAAAATCTGTTGTGATTGACGAGAATCATCTATTTTACAGACCGAGGGTTTTTACTAATTTGTATATTTTTCAGGTCATACTGACTTTTGAATAACTTTTGAATCGTTATTACTTTTGACTTGATATTTTTCATGGTGATTAAACAACTATAAGAAAATAAAAAAACAAAATTTTATTTTAAAAAATCTGTCGCCATTGTCCAGAATCATCTATTTTGCAGCCTGAAGGGTTTTATACTATTTTCTTATTTTTTAAAGAGAAAAATTTGGGGTCATATTATAATTATACCATGCGAATATGCATAAAGGAATCATGGAGTCCAAAAAATAAATCATTTAAAAACTATTGCAAAATTTACAGACTGATCAGTGATATAATCACATAAATTACTGTTCGTCAAGTAAATTGGCTGTTTAAACAAATTAAACTTATCAACTTTAAACAGTTTGTAACTTTTTTAAATTTTTTGATATTTTTGCACCATTATTACATTTGACTTGAAATTTAGAATAGTGATCCAGTTTTTATTAAATTTGTCGGGATTATCCAGAGTCGTTTATTTTACAGACTGAAGGGTTTCTACTTATTTAATTGTGTTATGAAGAAAAAAAATTAGGGTTGCACAATGCAAATATGCATAAAAGAATCACGGAATCCAAAAATTGGATTATTTAAAAATTATTGCATAACTTACAGACCTGTCAATAAAATCTTTACAAAAGTTACAGACCAGTCAGTAAATTACAGAGAAAGGGATGTACAAACCAACTTGGGCATATCGACCTTATATATTTTTGATATTTTTGAACCGTTATTACATTTGACTTGAAATTTTAAATAGTGATCCAGTTTTTATTGAATTTGATGAAATCATACAAAATCGTTTATTTTACAGACTGAAGTGTTTTTACTTATTTAATTATGTAATGAACAACAAAAATTATGGTTACAATATGCAAATATGCATAAAATAATCATGGAATCTGAAAAACATATCATTTTGAAATTTTTGCATATTTTACAGACCGGTTAGTAAATTACTATAAAAAGTTTGCACAAACCTATTGAGCAACTTGACTTTAAATATATTTGATAATTTCCAACTGTTATTACATTTGACTTGAAATTTTTGATAGAGGTATAAAACTATTTTAAAATTAAATGCCATATTTTTTTTGCATCTGTCGAAATTACAACAGCAATAGCAGGTATACAACAGAAACTTACAACAGCAATAGCAGATGTAACAGCAGAAAATCTACCTAAAACTGTAATAAAATTATTATTAAAAACGCAGATACTTAATTTTCGGAAAATATTTGTTAATTCGTTTTAAAAATTAAAATTTCAAAAAAATTATAAATTAACAATTAAAACTAAATAAATATAAAATAGGAAACTTACTTTTTGAGATTGTTTATATGAACTATTAACAACACCTAAGATAAAAAAACAAAAACAACATTAAAAAAATGTTGCTATTCTACAACTTACCTCTTGGCTTTTAGTAAATGATTAGAAGTAGCAAGTTTCAGTAAGGAAACAAACTAATAATCATTTTAACGATAGACACCAGCGAGAAGGTAAGCCAAGTTGTCTATCAACACAAAACATCACAACAATAACATCACAATCACAAAACATACAGACCCTGTGTCACTAAATGCTGCAAATTCACACTAGTGTCAATATTTAGCTAACAAGGTTAACTTCTATCCTTGGCCCTTTACTATTTCTAACCAGCATTAATGATCATCCTGAAAAGCTCACAGGTGAAAAGCAACATTAATGATCTTCCTGAAAAGCTCACAGGAGGCTTTATTTGTCAATGACATAAGAAACATATGGATTTGAATCATCTCAATTTGGAGCTTACCTGTTAACTGTCGTTACAGAAAGGTTTGAAATAATAATTAGATAAAGGCGGTGAGGCACATTCTATTGTTCTGGATGATATGGTGTCTGGATGATATCTGGCGAAGTCTTTAAAAAGTTTTTGCTATCTTGTTGATATTTTTATATTGATGAATGGCAACATTTTTACTGTCTTCTAATTTACATTGTCTCTGAATATCTTTTTGTACTGACCTCTCATGGAAAGTTAATATTTGTATACGATAATATAATAATAAAATAAATAACGTGTATACGATTGCATACGATAATATAATAATAAAATAAATAACGTGAATACGATTGTATACGATAATATAATAATAAAATAAATAACAGCTTTTTTTCAATACTTATCATTCATCTTGTTTTTATAACAATTAATAGATGACAATATAAATTTGTAATTTATATTGTCATATGTTAATTGCTATAATCTTCACCTTGGGTCTACCAGAAACTACTAACTCTAAAAGTGGTTGCTTACAGCCTTGTTGGAAATACAGAAAGTTAAAATAAAAAGTCAATTTGGCATGATTTAACAATCTTGATGATTTGCATCCTTCTGTTAATTTTTCTATCCCTACTTCTAGCCAAACATCTTCTGAAACAAATTCTATAAAATTTGTTCAAGAAGATGTTTCTGCTTCTAAAATTTTATTTTCTGATTTAAACTTGAAAACTGCTAATGTTGTTTTTCAAGCTCTGTTACTCAAACTTCTATACTTCTAATATTTAAAAATTCCAATATATTCTTTGCAGTATCAAATGGTTTTTCAAGCCATAATTTGGAAGCTAAAATTAAAAGTAAACCTAAATTAAAGTAACTCAAAACGAAGAAAACAAGGGATGGATTAACAAAATTTGCTTTCAATAAATAAAAG